AGTGTGTCGACGAAAATCACTTTTCATACAAAATTTCCGAAATCCCTTGAAGCCATTATTTTTTCCTAGCAGAATTATCAATTTCGATCATTCATGTGCACCGCATTTGGGTTTGAAAAGAATTGATCCACGATTATTAATTTTTTATCTGCATTTATTTCATCTTTCGTTGATATTCATCGAAACTGCACCGGCCTTCAATCTGCGGCCATCAATAAACAAAGTGATTAGAAGATGGAGTTTAAACCCTAAGCGAAACTTGAACTTCCATCACTTTTCTATTGAGCAACTTCATTGTTTACGGCAACAACTCTACAATTTTAACCATGAGAGCTTTACATTTTGATGAACATAAAGTCTTACCATGAAACTAAATAACTCAAATATAATAAAATACTAGTTAAAAACTAATGTAGAAAATAGTAGATAAAATTTAATTTTGAAAACACATTAAAAACTAATGTAGAAAAATAGTAGTTAAAAACCTGTTTGAAAAAATCTAATTTGGAAATATATTAAGTTAAATACTAATTTGAAAAAAAAATACTTGTTGGAAAAATACTAATTAAAAACTAATTCGTAATATACGGGTTCAAAACTAATTTTTAAAAATACTAGTTAAAACTTAAGTTGAAAAAAATATTATTTAAAAAACTAATTTGAAAAAAATACTAAAAACTAATTTGGAAAAATACCTGTTAAAAATTTGAAAAATATACTAATTATAGACCAATTCGGAAAAGTGATACTAAAAACTAACTTATCCCATCAGGGGAACGCATCACTCTGGCCGTTAACTAGGAAGCCGTCGGCCCAACAATGTCGTGTTTACATCGCACTGACAGCGTACAAAGCCATGAAGTTGAGTTTACCCCATTGTTCTAGAACGTCGTTGAACCTACAAAAAGGTTAATCTTTCCACTGACAGGGTCTTGTTTTTAGTCCTGTGAGAATCTCTTTTCCTGTATGGCAGTGAATTCTGGGCGATCTCCTCAAAGATGAAGAGGAAACTTGAAGCAAGAGAAATGTGGTTCTACAGATGGATGCTGAGGATACCGTGGACAGAACATGTAAACAACGACGAAGTTTGGGAGAAAATAGAAACAAAATTCTTAACATCAGGAAGAGACATTTGAGATTTCTGAGGCACATCATGAGGAAAGAGGGCCTGGAAAATCTGATACTCACGGGGCAGATAGAGGGCAAGAGAGACAGGATAAAACATAGCATAGCACATTTAGTTAGCTTGATTAAATGGATGGCGGATAAGGGAGTATAAAAAATAACGTAAAGACAAAGTTTATTAAATGCTACAAGGGATAGGAAGTTGCGGAGAGCCATGATCGCCTCGGTCCTGATGGGACACGGCATATAAAGAAGAAATGTACACTATTTACGTTGTTCGGACTATCATCCTCATCTTTCCAGTTATCTCCCTTTTAATTCCCCTCTCCAAGTTCTCCACCGTCTTGACCAGGTATTGAACCCATACTCTTTGGGTCCTGTCACTGGATCTAACTAACACCTTTATCCACTGTGCCATGTATACTTGAGGACATGGCACATGGTGGAGGACTTGGAGAGGGGAATTAACAGGAGATAACTGATAACTGACATCCATTAGACATGACACGTGGAACTAGAACAGTCTACACCAGTGAGCGAAATAAAGGGTTCAGTTCGACATTCCAACCACCTGAAGAAGGCCGGAGCGTACAACGGCCGAAACGTTGTGATAAATATGACAACAAAGATGAGGATGATAGTCCGAACAATGTAAATAGTGTACACAATACCTCATCTCAGAAATATAGACAGATAAAGAAGAAATGCGTTTCATCATCTATATTAACAAGCAAAACGTTTGCATACTGATGAACAATGAATTCAGTAAATATTCAAAAATAGAATCTGCTGTAAGACAACGATGTGTCTTCTAACCGGACATATTCGTCCTATATACTGAGGCGATTTTGAGAGAATTTGAAGTCCTACCATGATTTATTATTAGCGGCCACAATCTTAACAACATAAGATAGGCTGACGACACAGTTTTCCTAGCAGATAATAAAAGGAAACTACACGAACTCCCACAGACAGTAGTGAAGGAAAGAAAGAAAGAATGATTACATTTGAATTGCAAGAAAACAGAATACATGGTTGTTAGTGAAAGGAACAACTCAGCATGCAAATTACAAATTGGAGATACCAAAATCAAACAAGTAAAATAATTTAAATACCAGATATTGGTTTTTGTTAGCGAAAGATGCCTTCCAAAAGCTAAGCAAAGAATTAAGAAACAGAAGAAAAAATCTTCGTTAGAAACAAAGAAAAGAATACTGAAGTTTTATGTAATATGACTTTTCCTATAATGGTAGTGAATGTTGGAGAATCTCCTCAAAGATGAAGAAAGGAACTTGGAGTAAGTAAAATGTGGTTCTACGGAAGGATATTGAGAATGCCAATGACCGAATATATGAGCAACGACGAAATTTTAGGG